GGGAGGGGGAGCACCCCTCAAAGAGGGGAGTGCGGGGAGTGCCACAAGCAGCATTCACAGCAAAGATGTTCTTCTCAGCTGCAACTAGCTGCTGCTCGAAGTCATCTAGGGTGATGGTGGGAGGGTCTTTGGCGAGGAAGTAGTCCCTAACGGAACGGAGCGTGTCGGGAAGGCGGGTGACTAGGATGTAGAGGGTAAAGTACAGGGGGGGTTTGTTCTCGGCGAGGAACTCGTCAGTGAGAGCGGCACGAAAGCGAGCGTCACTAGTGCGGAGGTGAGAGATGAGGTCTGCAGCAGTGGAAAACGAGGCGAGGTCGGGGAAAAGGTAGGGTAGGATGAGACTACCAACGGCGGCAGTGGCTGAGGCAGAATAGCGGGCAACTACTGCGTCAAACAGTTCCTTAGCAGTCTTAAGCTGGTTGAAGTGTGCGCGCTCGGAGATAGGCAGGTGGTTGCGAATAGCTAGGCGGGCAAGGGCATCGCGGGTCTGCCATTCAGCGCGATCAGAGGCAGGAGCAGTAGCAGCGGGAGCAGGGGCAGTGCCATTGACATAGTCTAGCAGAGAGGCTCCGTCCTTGGTATTAGTCAAAAGGTAGAGCTGCAGGTCACTGAGCCAGGTGTCAAACTGAACAGGACTACCGTCAGGCTCAAAGTCGAGAACAGAAATAGTCGCCATGGTCACAGGGCGGGGAAATGCAGCAGGCACAGTCTAAGGCTCAGGCTCAGGCGCAGGCAGCAGGCAGGCTCAGGCAGGGCAGGGCGGCGGCGCACAAGCGGGGCGAGCGTGGCGGCCGCTCGTACGCAGCGGTTGGGTGCGGCAGCAGGCTGCGCGCGCGGCAGCGGGCTGCGTGCGGCAGAGGGCGCGCGGCGGCGGGCTGCATGGCGACGGGCGGCGCCCGGGCAGGGGGCTGCGTGCGGCAAAGGGTGCGCGGCGGCGGGCTGTGCAGCGACGGGCGGCGCACGGGCAGGGCACGCGCGGCTGCGGGCTGCGCGTGGCGAGGCTGCGGCGGCAGGCGAACAGGCGGCGCAGGCGGGGCGCGCGGCGCGCAGGGCAGCAGCAGGCTGCGGGCTGCTTTCGTGGGGCACGCGCTAAAAAAAAAAAGACGCGCGCGCCTTCGAGGCGCACGCAGGCAGCAGGCTAGGCAGGCAAGGCACGCACGGCTGTAGGTGAGGTAACGCAGTAACCAGTGGGCCCGAACTTAGGTCCTAAGACCTGCTGCTCTAGATACCATCTCAGAATCTAGACAAGGGGAATGGTTGGATTAGGTCAAGGGGGGGTACAAGAAGAATGTCGAGAGAAATTCTGTACCCCCTAGTGCTACCCCACTACAGCCTAGACAAAGCCAACATACAAATATAGTTTGACATGTTCCGGCAACAACATGGTTCTAGTCATAAATAGAGGGGGATTATGCACAGCATGTACTCATCCTGAGATGACACCAAGGACCCGAAGACCAAACATAATGGTGCCAATCATGAGGCCCAAAAGTCCAATCGTCCAAAATCTGCAAGTAGAGCAAGCACATCGATTGGAAGTTAAAATGCAGGTGGGATGTGATTCTCTGTTTCGGAGCAATGAGGGCGAGATGGAAAAAAGGGATGTGCGGACGGTGGGGGAAAAGGGAGAGGGAGGAAAGAGGGGAAAGCGAGCGAGGGAAGAGAGTGAGGGGGAAAGGGGGTGGAAGGTGGTCTGGGCGTATGGGAATTCTTACGCTCCATAATTTCGTGCCGCAGGGCTCCCAGTGGAGTAACCAAGGAAATAGACAATGCGCCCAAGCAGGAAGATAACCCCAAGAACTGTGGATGTCCAGGGGTACTGCAATGTGAGCGAAAGAGAGGCGGCGTTAAATGACACAAGCAGGTCGTGGAAGACACAATGTGTGAAGCGGGAAACCCAGGAAAAGCAACCAGCATGTGGTGTGGTGGGAGCAGAGCCACTGGCAGGCGAGGAAAGCTTACCGCAAGGCCGCTGGTGAGGAGGAACGCTAGGAAAAACGGATTGTTCTCGAGAAAGTTCTGATGCGCCCTCTGCGATGCAAGACGTGGAAAAAAAAAAAAAAAGACCAGCACATCTGACTTCTCCAGAATGGTGTCTATTTCTCAAAAGGCGTGGAATATGTCAAACAAACCATATTTTCGAGCGCATGCACATGATTGTCGCACCTGCACGCAGTTGAACTCCTTGTTGTTCTTGTGAGACTCAGGCGCATACAGAAGCGGGAATTGGACGTTGTACCTGCAACCACACGAACAGAATTCTCGCGCATAATTATCGTTGTTAACAAGCAGCAGCACATTTGCTAAACAGTTAATAATTAAAAAAAAAATCCAGCATGTTTACTTCTTTCTCGCGAACATCACGACTTCGGCGAAAAAGATATGAACGATTGCAGTTGCCGCTGCCACCAGCAGCACGGCGCCATGCCCCTGAGACAGCTCCAAGGTGAAGACTGGTGCCATGGCTTGAAGGAAAGGAGGATTCTGAGATGGAATTACAAAATAATCCATAAAAAAAATCCACAGCCAAAATGCTACTTCGAAGATACTCACGAGATTACCCCGGCGTAGCAGCCGGAAAGGTATGTGCGGGGGGAATGCCGGTGATGATCCTTCTGAAGGTTTGGATAGTCGCGTGAGTACACTCCCACGATTGAGGAAAGGAACCAACCAGCTGCCACGTGTTCTTGGCTTAGACGTGGTGGCGAATGGACATCCGACAATTGTGAAAGAAGATATTTGACCTGTCTGCACGCACAAGGGCTCAACGAGCGCTCTGCAAGAACCCGGGGAAGAAAATTCTTCGCCGGCAGGTCCCCTTTCGCTCACCCGCGAAAGTTCCCCGACGGCGAAAGGAGGAGAGGTTGTTGCAGGGCGAAGGTGCACGGCGATGTTGGTCGAAATTTCTGACACCTAAAGAATATTTTTGTTTGACCCCTGCCCAACCCCAAAGCCATCCCCTCGTCATACCGAACCCCACACGTTTGGTCTGGGCGCCGGGTATCAGTTCCCTGAGTGAGGAAGGTGCGACGTTTGTTCCTCCTCCCTGATTCCGTCTAGGTCTTTGAGTAGGAAATGGCGGCCTTGTTCAACGGGCAGGCGACGCTCAGTAGCAGATTTTCAAGAAATTGGTGCTGTTCGCCAGCAAATCGTTTCTTGAACAGAAAACGATGGCATCGGCATCGCGACCGCATCGGGAACCGGGGGCGGAACCCTCCTCCAAGGTTTGGGCGAAATTCCGTCCGAGAAACTACGCACTCCTAAAGACGAAATTTCGCAACCGCATCGGGAAGGTCCATCCCCACCTTCCCCCCAATCCCCTTTGAACGGCAATGCGACGGCTGTGCCATCGCTGTGCTTTGAAAAACGCAGCATGGCGATGGCATGGCTAGGGGATGGTGTTTTGCCTGGGGACGAAGTTTCGTCCCCGCTTCCACATGCCGTCGAACTGTTAGATTTGGGTTGCGTTCTGTTGGCGCATAGCTTGTGCGTAACCCTGATGGGGAATATACCAGGAACGCGCGTGACAAGGCTTGGAGCCGGAGGGAATCGTTAGTGTGACCCGAACCTCTGGTGCGGAAGTTGTGCGCGCATTACTCATGCGTGCACAAAAACGCCGCACTGACAGTGCGCTCGGAACATTCCAGGACCTTGCTCTCACGGGCAAACCTTGTGCGTAGCCTGTCCGAGTCCCATCCGCTCATCTCCCAGCGTTAAAGGGGCGCACAAGCTGTGCGGGGCAGCCGAATCCGCCCGGTAAAATACGATTTTGTTGAGTTTCTGCACCCATGGATTTGACTTCGAGATGCTTGGCCGTTGGATGCAGCTGTCAATTTGAGTTGCGTGCCCAAAATGTTTAGGTCACTGCTGCTCATGGATGCTGACGCTCCTACAAAATTTGTGTCTGCCCCCGCGTAAATTCCCTGGAGCCTGCCTCGCAGATACATCTCGCCTGGGTCATAAATTCGTGGAAATTTCAGGGGGGTTCTCTCCTACGCGGAAGCCCCCGAGCGCACAACTTGTGCGTCGTGCGCGCATAACTAACGCGCCAACAGAACGCAGCCTTGGTGGAGAGAAGTGGGCGTTCGCCAGACGCCCACTTTGTTTGATGGTTTGGACGGAAGGTGAGGCTCGGCACATTTTTCACGGGCTGACCAAGCTGACGGAGGTTAACGAACTCTAACTGACGGGATCAGGAAGGCGAGACCCACCTTCCTGATCCTGTCGCTATCCCGTGGGTTTTAGATATAATGGTGCTGTCGAACAGCCCCATTCAAAACGAAGTGAGAATGGTCTTGGACGGAGTGTGAAGTGTTGTAAGCGATGTAGGGTGACGCGAAGTAAGGAGAAGTTGACTCCTTACCCAAAACGAATTCCATAAGTTTCAGCCGTGAATGCTCATCGTCACCCCTCACGCCTCATCCCCTGCTCTCTCATGTGTTGTAAGCTACTTTTTCCCCGCTGCTCTAGTTTTCCGCGGGGCTCCGCGCCGTGTTCGCGCGCTCTCCGCGCCCCTCTCTCCTTTCTCCGCACGTCGCGCGAATCGCTCGCCGCGTGCCTCGCCGCACGAGTAGCTGCGTCAGCTTAAGCCCTGCGTGCTTGCGTCGCGTCGCGTGGCGGGGAGGCGGCACGCAAGGCGAGACGCTCGCCTTTCACCTCTCACATCGCGCCTCCCGGCTCCCTCGCGCCACATCGGTTTCTGCATCGAGGGCAGGTAAGAGCGCACAGGCGGGTCGAGGGGGGAATGGGCGGATGGATGCGCCACCCCTACTAGCTCTCCTCCCCCCCTTCGGTTCTCTCCTCCCCCCCTTCGGTTCTCGCCCTTGCAGTTCACGCCCTGCCATTACCGCATGCACTCCCTTTCATCCTTTCGTCCCTCGCCCCTTGATCCGTCGCCACTGCCAGGCCGAGCGCGCGGAGAGTGCGAGGAGCGGGGAGGCGGCAGGCAAGCAAGGCAAGGCCCAAGCAGGGCAGGGCAGGGGGAGCAGGGGGGGTGTGTGATGGCACGAGGCACGGTGTCACGGGTGGTGCAGCAGGCGATGGAGCCGCGGCCGACGACGCTGCAGCTGGGCGTGGGCATGGTGGTGGTGGCCGTGCTGGCTAAACTCGCCATGCTCGTGAGTGCCGCTGGGATGGGGAGGGGCATGGTGTATGGGGCATGGGGCATGGTGCATGGGGCATGGGGAGGGGTGTGAGAGGTTGGATGGAGAATGAGTGGCATGGCATGGGCATGGTGGGTGGTGGTGGCTGTGCTGCCATGCTTGTGAGTGCACTAGGGGGTCCGTGATGGTGGAGAGTGAAGTTGCCATGGTGGTGCGGAGTAGGATGCGATGAGGAGTGGTATGGGGAGTGATATGGGGCGTGGTATGGGGAGTGGTATGGGGAGTGATATGGGGCGTGGTATGGGGAGTGGTATGGGGAGTGATATGGGGCGTGGTATGGGGAGTGGTATGGGGAGTGATATGGGGCGTGGTATGGGGAGTGGTATGGGGAGTGATATGGGGCGTGGTATGGGGAGTGGTATGGGGAGTGATATGGGGCGTGGTATGAGGAGTGGTATGGGGAGTGATATGGGGCGTGGTATGGGGAGTGGTATGGGGAGTGATATGGGGCGTGGTATGGGGAGTGGTATGGGGAGTGATATGGGGCGTGGTATGGGGAGTGGTATGGGGAGTGATATGGGGCGTGGTATGAGGAGTGGTATGGGGAGTGATATGGGGCGTGGTATGAGGAGTGGTATGGGGAGTGATATGGGGCGTGGTATGAGGAGTGGTATGGGGAGTGATATGGGGCGTGGTATGAGGAGTGGTATGGGGAGTGATATGGGGCGTGGTATGAGGAGTGGTATGGGGAGTGATATGGGGCGTGGTATGAGGAGTGGTATGGGGAGTGATATGGGGCGTGGTATGGGGAGTGGTATGGGGAGTGATATGGGGCGTGGTATGGGGAGTGGTATGGGGAGTGATATGGGGCGTGGTATGGGGAGTGGTATGGGGAGTGATATGGGGCGTGGTATGGGGAGTGGTATGGGGAGTGATATGGGGCGTGGTATGGGGAGTGGTATGGGGAGTGATATGGGGCGTGGTATGGGGAGTGGTATGGGGAGTGATATGGGGCGTGGTATGGGGAGTGGTATGGGGAGTGATATGGGGCGTGGTATGGGGAGTGGTATGGGGAGTGATATGGGGCGTGGTATGGGGAGTGGTATGGGGAGTGATATGGGGCGTGGTATGGGGAGTGGTATGGGGAGTGATATGGGGCGTGGTATGGGGAGTGGTATGGGGAGTGATATGGGGCGTGGTATGAGGAGTGGTATGGGGAGTGATATGGGGCGTGGTATGGGGAGTGGTATGGGGAGTGATATGGGGCGTGGTATGGGGAGTGGTATGGGGAGTGATATGGGGCGTGGTATGGGGAGTGGTATGGGGAGTGATATGGGGCGTGGTATGAGGAGTGGTATGGGGAGTGATATGGGGCGTGGTATGAGGAGTGGTATGGGGAGTGATATGGGGCGTGGTATGAGGAGTGGTATGGGGAGTGATATGGGGCGTGGTATGAGGAGTGGTATGGGGAGTGATATGGGGCGTGGTATGAGGAGTGGTATGGGGAGTGATATGGGGCGTGGTATGAGGAGTGGTATGGGGAGTGATATGGGGCGTGGTATGGGGAGTGGTATGGGGAGTGATATGGGGCGTGGTATGGGGAGTGGTATGGGGAGTGATATGGGGCGTGGTATGGGGAGTGGTATGGGGAGTGATATGGGGCGTGGTATGGGGAGTGGTATGGGGAGTGATATGGGGCGTGGTATGGGGAGTGGTATGGGGAGTGATATGGGGCGTGGTATGGGGAGTGGTATGGGGAGTGATATGGGGCGTGGTATGAGGAGTGGTATGGGGAGTGATATGGGGCGTGGTATGGGGAGTGGTATGGGGAGTGATATGGGGCGTGGTATGGGGAGTGGTATGGGGAGTGATATGGGGCGTGGTATGGGGAGTGGTATGGGGAGTGATATGGGGCGTGGTATGAGGAGTGGTATGGGGAGTGATATGGGGCGTGGTATGAGGAGTGGTATGGGGAGTGATATGGGGCGTGGTATGAGGAGTGGTATGGGGAGTGATATGGGGCGTGGTATGAGGAGTGGTATGGGGAGTGATATGGGGCGTGGTATGAGGAGTGGTATGGGGAGTGATATGGGGCGTGGTATGAGGAGTGGTATGGGGAGTGATATGGGGCGTGGTATGAGGAGTGGTATGGGGAGTGATATGGGGCGTGGGTTATGGTGGGGTGGTGGCGAGTGATATTGAAGAAGACGGTTTGGATAATAGACAGGGAAATGCTGGAAATGTGCCTGGATGTTCACACAATGTAGTCACACCACACAGACTCGAATACTTGGCAGGCTCTCCCGCCCTGAATCCATATCTGTTGATTCTGATTCTTCCAGTTTTCCTCCTCCAGGGAATTAGTCGGTTTCGGGTGCAACTCCACTGTGATGCACCTCTCTGCTAAGTTGTGGAAGACGCGTCTAAGACGCTAGACGCGCGTCTTGGGCAGATTAGATGCTGGGATAGACGCATGCCCGGGCAGGCCAAAAAAACGTCCGGGCATGGGGAGGGCGGGGAGAAGGACATTGCACACATTTTGGCAAATAAGGTTTAGTGTTTTCGAAGGAGAATTGAGTTAGCGTGAAAACCCCAACGGTTTTTTAAGGAGAATTGAGTTGAACTAGATATGAGGAGCACAGATGAGGTGGTTATGCTCCTAAATGCCTTTGGTGATGGTCCACAAAGAGCTTTGAGGTTGCAATTTAGGTTGGGGTGTAACAAAAGTTGGTTGGGGGGGCTGTTTTTCATGGTCGAAATGGGTGGGAGGGGGTTCAAATTTCGTGAAATTGAATTTCGCTTCAAAATCACGAAATTCAATTTCGCGCGCTCGAATGTTTTTTTCCGGGCTGCCCGGAAAAAATTGCCCCATGCGTCTAGCGTCTTCGGGTGCGTCCTGCGTTCTGCATCCAGACGCTGCGTCTGGACACAGGACACAGGACGCTGCTGGCGTCTTCCGCAACTTAGCCTCTCTGCTGCTCCACCATGATGCGCCTCTCTGCTGCTCCTCTCTCTCACCTCTACCACTCATCTCTCTCCTCACCTCGTCGCGTGTCTCAAGCCACAAAGCAAGTGGTACAGCGAGCCCTTCCCCCTGCCACTGCGCATCTTCTCGTCTCCCCTCCCTCACCCCCGATTCCTCCCCTCCCCTCTACCTCTTAATGTCTGACTGACCCTGTGCGGCAGTATCATGAGTCCAGAAAGACCGAGAGTGGCATGGCAAGCCATTGCACTTATCACTTTGTGTCTTCCTCTTCCCTCCTCTCCCCTCCCCCTGACCCTGTGATGCATCAGTATGATGAGTCCAGAGAGACGGAGAGAGTGGCATGGCAAGCCATTGCACCTACAACTTCGCATTTTCTCTCCCCTCCCCTCCCTTCCCATCCTCTTCTTCCCCCCCTGGCCCTCGAGGGCGCCAGTACGACGAGTCGAAGGAGACGCAGAGGATGGCGCAGCAAGCCCTTCCACCCACCACTTTTTGTCCTCCCCTCCCCCTTTCCCTCCCCCCTGACACTGTGAGGGCATCAGTACAAGGAGTCGAAGGAGACGGAGAGGGTGGCGCGGCAAGCCATTGCACTTATCACTTGGCGTCATCCCCTTCTCCCCTCCCATCCTCTGCCCCTCCCCTCCTCTTCCCTTCCCCTTGACCCTGTGAGGGCACCAGTACGACGAGTCCAAGGAAACAGAGAGAGTGGCGCGGCGGGCGAGGCGATTTGCAGAGGAGCAGGAGGAACTGGAGGCGCTGAGTCGGGAGGAGTGGGATGCGGTGAAAGCAGCACGACCTCAGACGCCCTATGAGAGCGCCTTGACTCGCTCAGGGGCACGCATCCGCACGGGATCATGGCCGTCCGTGGTAGGTGGGGTTTGGTTATGGCTGTCCTTCTTATGCGGGGTTTGATCGTGGCCGTCCATGCAGTGTAGGTTTGATCACAGCAGCCGTCAGTGGTATGTGAGATATGACAGAGGGACATGAGTACCACGGACGTGCGGTTTGGTCACGAGGTCCATGTTATTGCGGATTGTCTTTGTAGGCTCGGTTGTATCCGTTGACAACGGGTCGGGTTCGAATGTGCACATGTACCCCGTGTGGGGGGGTGGAAGTTAGGCTTTGATGGGTCTTGTGGGATGGGTAGTAAGTGCTTTTGCATTTTCGTCTCCAAATGCATGCTCTTGTTTGGTCCTCTTTCCTTTGTTTTTGTGCATGGACAGGGCGAAGCATGCAGCTGGGCAAGTGTTGTGTTGACAGATGCAATGAAGCGAGTAGAAAGCGGCGATAAGTCGAGATAATCGTATCACTGGATCAGTTTGTATATAGCTTGTCCCAGCACGCAACTGCACACTGCCGGCACACCCGGCATGCTTGCAATTTTTCTGTTACCACTGCTGCTTCAGTCTTTCATGTGTAAGGGTGCATAATCTCATGCAAAATTCTGCAGTCAAGGTTGCAGACACCAGTATAATCTCACAAAAAACAGTACGAAGCACGTCTATGGGAGGCAATTCATTTATCAACATTAGCGACCGTACATATTCAACCCACAAACAGCCAGGCGGGGGCCAAGCCAATACTCAGCTGGCTGGGCTCCTCTCTTGCACGACATGCTGGGTCAGGTCAGGTGTCCTGTGCGGTAGCAGGCGGTGCAGAGTCGGAGGGTGGCGCGTTGTCAGAAGGCGGCGCGATATCGGAGCAGAATCGCTGGGTGACGGGGGACTGGTACTCGACAGGCACGTTGGCACAGAAGCGCGCTGCCTGCTCTGACTGGATGGACGGCGCCACCAGGGGAATGAGCGCCTGTAGGCGCTCCACCGACCCGCGCTGCGCCTCCACCACCTCCTCTAGGGTCTGTACTGCGCTCAGCGCTGCCCGCTTGCTGGCCTCCGCCTTGACTGCTGCACTCTCCAGCTCCTGCCGCCCGCTCGTTGCTGCTGCCAGGCGTGACCTCAGCATCTCCACCTGCCAGGTCACACGGGACACATGGGACACACGGGACACATGGGACACATGGGACACATGGGACACATGGGACACATGGGACACATGGGACGCACGGGACGCACGGGACGCACGGGACACATGGGACACATGGGACACATGGGACACATGGGACACATGGGACACACGGGACACACGGGACACACGGGACACACGGGACACACGGGACACACGGGACACACGGGACACACGGGACACATGGGACACATGGGACACACGGGACACACGGGACACATGGGACACATGGGACACATGGGACACACGGGACACATGGGACACACGGGACACATGGGACACATGGGACACATGGGACACACGGGACACATGGGACACACGGGACACATGGGACACACGGGACACATGGGACGCACGGGGCACATGGGACGCACGGGACACATGGGACGCACGGGACACATGGGACGCACGGGACACATGGGACGCACGGGACACATGGGACGCACGGGACACATGGGACGCACGGGACACATGGGATGCACGGGACACATGGGACGCACGGGACACATGGGACGCACGGGACACATGGGACGCACGGGACACATGGGACGCACGGGACACATGGGACGCACGGGACACATGGGACGCACGGGACACATGGGACGCACGGGACACATGGGACGCACGGGACACATGGGACGCACGGGGACACATGGGACGCACGGGACACATGGGACGCACGGGACACATGGGACGCACGGGACACATGGGACACACGGGACACATGGGACGCACGGGACACATGGGTCACACGGGACACATGGGACACATGGGACACACGGGACACATGGGACGCACGGGACACATGGGACACACGGGACACAGGGGACACATGGGACGCACGGGACACATGGGACGCACGGGACACATGGGACGCACGGGACACATGGGACGCACGGGACACATGGGACACACGGGACACATGGGACACACGGGACACATGGGACACACGGGACACATGGGACACACGGGACACATGGGACACACGGGACACACGGGACACACGGGACACATGGGACACATGGGACACACGGGACACATGGGACGCACGGGACACATGGGACACACGGGACACAGGGGACACATGGGACGCACGGGACACGTGGGACGCACGGGACACATGGGACGCACGGGACACATGGGACGCACGGGACACATGGGACACACGGGACACATGGGACACACGGGACACATGGGACACACGGGACACATGGGACACATGGGACACACGGGACACATGGGACACACGGGACACACGGGACACACGGGACACACGGGACACATGGGACACATGGGACACACGGGACACACGGGACACACGGGACACACGGGACACATGGGACACACGGGACACATGGGACACATGGGACACATGGGACACATGGGACACATGGGGGGCACCACGGCGTACGGTACGTTTGAGTCAACTCAAAGTCACCTTCTGCCCGCTCGTTGCTGCTGCCTGCCACGGGGCACACAGGCAACACGACTTGCTTGCTCGCCTCTACACATGCACCCACATCACCAGCACTGCCATGCATCACATCACATGACGCATTCCGCCCAGCATGCTGGCAGGAGGAGGTAACCCTGGGTGGCATGGGAGTCGTCAGTTTTGAGACATTTCAAAACATCACTCTTATCACACCTGGGTAGCATGGGAGGTAAGCGAGGCACACCTGGGTGGCGTGTGAGTCATCAGTGAAGGAGTAGAAAGCGGTGGTAGGGATGATGACAGCCAGGGCAATGGTGGCACCCAGCAGCCACTGCAGCGTTGTGAGACGTCTCAAAACACTCCTTTTATCACATGGGAGGCACACCTGGGTGGCATGAGAGGTACACCTGGCATGGTGGCAACCAGAGAATTCTCAAAAGCGATTACAACACACCTGGATGGCGTGTGAGTCGTCTGTGAAAAAGGAATAGAAGGCAGTGGCAGGGATGATGACAGCGAGGGCGATGGTGGCGCCCAGCAGCCACTGCAGTGAGTGCACGCGGTCCACTAGCTTCTGCTTCTGCTCCACCGCCATCGCCTCTGCTGCCTCCACGTACTCCCTCAGCCGCGCTGCTGCCCCCTCCTCGCCCTGTGCTGCCCCCACCTCCTGCACCTGCTCTCCACAGTGCCATGCCCACGCAGGCACACACATACACGCACGCGCAAATGCCCGCGCACACGCACACGCACACGCACACACACACACACACACACACACACACACACACACACACAACACGCACACACATACACACACGGGGAATATAGTACGGCCAGGGTGTGGCCATGCAGGGGCGCATGTGGAGGGGTGGATTTTGGGATGGAATGGCGAAGATTGGGGAAAGAACGCAGAGGCAATGGTGGAACGAAGTTGGAGATGAGAGCAGGGTCAGCAGCAGGGCGGCAGCTCACCTGGGTGCGTGCTTGGTCGAGCTGCTGGCGCATGTGGTGGGTCTCCTCTATCAGCCGTGCACTGCGCTCCCTCACCGCCGCCGCCTCACTGGTGACTCGTTGCATCAGCACCCTGCAGAGTGCACACATGGCGCAGGGAGGTGAGGTGAGGTGGGGCACACGGCATGAAGCAGCAAGGGCGTGGGGCAGAGACAGTGACAGCAGGTGAGACGAACAGCAGGTGAGACGAGCAGAGCAGCAGCACATGGCACGAGCAGATGGCAAGTGCATCATGAAACGATGAGATATGAGAGGTGAGAGGTGAGGGATGAGAGGCGAGAGGTGAGGGATGAGAGGCGAGAGGTGAGGGATGAGAGGTGAGGGATGAGAGGTGAGGGATGAGAGGTGAGGGATGAGAGGTGAGGGATGAGAGGTGAGGGATGAGAGGTGAGGGATGAGAGGTGAGGGATGAGAGGTGAGGGATGAGAGGTGAGGGATGAGAGGTGAGGGATGAGAGGTGAGGGATGAGAGGTGAGGGATGAGAGGTGAGGGATGAGAGGTGAGAGGTGAGGGATGAGAGGTGAGGGATGAGAGGTGAGGGATGAGAGGTGAGGGATGAGAGGTGAGGGATGAGAGGTGAGGGATGAGAGGTGAGGGATGAGAGGTGAGGGATGAGAGGTGAGAGGTGAGGGATGAGAGGTGAGGGATGAGAGGTGAGGGATGATAGGTGAGGGATGAGAGGTGAGGGATGAGAGGTGAGGGATGAGAGGTGAGGGATGAGAGGTGAGGGATGAGAGGTGAGGGATGAGAGGTGAGGGATGAGAGGTGAGGGATGAGAGGTGAGGGATGAGAGGTGAGGGATGAGAGGTGAGGGATGAGAGGTGAGGGATGAGGGATGAGAGGTGAGGGATGAGAGGTGAGGGATGAGAGGCGAGGGATGAGAGGTGAGGGATGAGAGGTGAGGGATGAGAGGTGAGGGATGAGAGGTGAGGGATGAGAGGCGAGGGATGAGAGGTGAGGGATGAGAGGCGAGGGATGAGAGGCGAGGGATGAGAGGTGAGGGATGAGAGGCGAGGGATGAGAGGTGAGGGATGAGAGGTGAGGGATGAGGGATGAGAGGTGAGGGATGAGAGGTGAGGGGTGAGGGATGAGAGGTGAGGGATGAGAAGTGAGAGGTGAGGGATGAGAGGTGAGAGGTGAGGGATGAGAGGTGAGAGGTGAGGGATGAGAGGTGAGGTGAGGGATGAGAGGTGAGGGATGAGAGGTGAGAGGCGAGGGATGAGAGGTGAGAGGCGAGGGATGAGAGGCGAGGGATGAGAGGCGAGGGATGAGAGGCGAGGGATGAGAGGCGAGGGATGAGAGGCGAGGGATGAGAGGTGAGAGGCGAGGGATGAGAGGCGAGGGATGAGAGGCGAGGGATGAGAGGCGAGGGATGAGAGGCGAGGGATGAGAGGCGAGGGATGAGAGGCGAGGGATGAGAGGCGAGGGATGAGAGGTGAGGGATGAGAGGTGAGGGATGAGGGATGAGAGGTGAGGGATGAGAGGTGAGGGATGAGAGGTGAGGGATGAGAGGTGAGAGGTGAGAGGTGAGGGATGAGAGGTGAGGGATGAGAGGTGAGGGATGAGGGATGAGAGGTGAGGGATGAGAGGTGAGGGATGAGAGGTGAGGGATGAGAGGTGAGGGATGAGAGGTGAGAGATGAGAGGTGAGAGATGAGAGGTGAGAGGTGAGGGATGAGAGGTGAGGGATGAGAGGTGAGGGATGAGAGGTGAGGGATGAGGGATGAGAGGTGAGGGATGAGAGGTGAGGGATGAGAGGTGAGGGATGAGAGGTGAGGGATGAGAGGTGAGGGATGAGAGGTGAGGGATGAGAGGTGAGGGATGAGAGGTGAGGGATGAGAGGTGAGGGATGAGAGGTGAGGGATGAGAGGTGAGGGATGAGAGGTGAGGGATGAGAGGTGAGGGATGAGAGGTGAGAGGTGAGGGATGAGAGGTGAGGGATGAGAGGTGAGGGATGAGAGGTGAGGGATGAGAGGTGAGGGATGAGAGGTGAGAGGCGAGGGATGAGAGGTGAGAGGCGAGGGATGAGAGGTTAGAGGCGAGGGATGAGAGGCGAGGGATGAGAGGCGAGGGATGAGAGGCGAGGGATGAGAGGTGAGGGATGAGGGATGAGAGGTGAGGGATGAGAGGTGAGGGATGAGAGGTGAGGGATGAGAGGTGAGGGATGAGAGGTGAGGGATGAGAGGTGAGGGATGAGAGGTGAGAGGTGAGGGATGAGAGGTGAGGGATGAGAGGTGAGGGATGAGAGGTGAGAGGTGAGGGATGAGAGGTGAGGGATGAGAGGTGAGGGATGAGAGGTGAGGGATGAGAGGTGAGGGATGAGAGGTGAGGGATGAGAGGTGAGGGATGAGAGGTGAGAGGTGAGGGATGAGAGGTGAGGGCAGCACAGCACCAGCCGCCAGCACCCCTGTGAACAGGCGTGGTGGGCACTTGCCTGAGCAGCTCGCCCGGTTGCCCCTCAGCCTGCTCCATCTCCATCTCCACGCCTCTCTCTGCCGCCAGCGCTGCTGCCTCCGGCCCCATGGCGCCCATCACGTCGCTCGCTGCGCCCAGCTGCGCGCGCCACGCCTCCTGCACCTCTCCCTCCCGCCCCTCCGCAAACGCCAGCTCCGCGTTCAGCCGCGCCAGCTGCCACACGCACCACACGCCGCATGGAGAGGGGAGGGGAACGGGACAAGAGGGAGGGCAGGGGGGAAATGTTAAGTCCTGGGGAACACTTGCCTCCTCTGTCATACCGCTATGCAACCATGTTCTATGCGCTATGGCTTTCCTTCCCCCAACTTCCCCCTGGGCCCGCTCCCCCATCCCTCCTGCCCGCTCCCATACCTGGCGGGCCATCTCCTCCATCTGGGCCGAGAACACCGCAGCCCGCGACGCTAGCTCTGAGTCCTGGTTGCGCAGCTCTGCTAGCTGCGCCTCCACGTGCTCTGTGCGCGCGCGCTGCCGCGCCTCCTTCTCCGACAGCTCCTTCACCAGCGCCATCAGCTGCTTCGCGCGCTCCCCGCTCGCCACGCCCTCCGCCGCGCGCTCCGCCTCGCGCAGCCGCAGCCGCTCCAGCTCCGCGCTCAGCTGCCCCACGCGCGCGCCCGCCTCCGCCGCGCTGCCCTCCAGGGTCTTTACTTGCTCCGTCAGCAGCGCCGCTGCGCGCGCGGATACCGCCTCCTGCTCCTCCGCCTTGCGCGCGCGCGCCTCCAGCTGCGCGACCTGCTTCTCCAGCACGTCCGCGCGCCCCGTCGCCTTCTCCGCCACGCCCGTCGCCGCCTTTAGCCGCTCGCTCAGCTGCTTCACCTGCGCGCTTAGCGCCGCCATGCGCTCGCGCGCCTCCGCCGACTCGCTCACGCTCTCGCCCTTCGCCCCCTCCAGCTCCCGCAGCGCGCGCCGCTTGTCCTCCTCCGCTGCCAGCGCCGCCGCCTCCGCGCGCTGCGCGCGCTGCTCCTCCTCCTTAACGCGCGCGGTGAGCGCGTCAATGCTCTTCTCCGCGCGCGCCACCGCCGCCCACTGCTCCTTAACCTCCTCCTTCGCGGCCTGCAGCTCCATGCGCAGCCCCTGGATCACCGTCGCCGCGCGCCCGCCGCGCTGCTCGTCCGCCTCCACGCGCGCGCGCAGCGAGCTCACCTCGCCCTCCAGGCGCTCCTTCTCCGCGCGCCCCTCCGCCTCCACAGCGCGCATGCGCTCCCCCAGCAGCTCCATACGCTCATTCGCCTGCGCCAGCGCCTCCGTGTACAGCCGCTCCTTGCGCTGAAGCGCCTCCACCTGCCCCGTCAGCTCCGCCACCTGCTGCCCCGCGCGCTGAAGCGTCGCCGCCTGCTCGTCCGCCACGCGCGTCACCCCCTCCAGCTCCTTGCTCAGCGCCGCCACGCGCCGGTTCGCCGCCGCCAGTACCTCGCTGCTCCCCGCGCCCGCCGCGGGGGGGGCGGACTGCGCGGGCGCGGGGGCCTTGGCGGAGTCGCTCCAGCGGATGGGCGTCAGCAGGCGCTGGAGGGGCGCAGGGGAAGGCGTGGCAGCAGGGCGGGCAAGCAACGGGTGGGTGCAGGCGGTGGGGGTGGAGTCAGCGAGCGAAGGGGGGAGTGCGCATGTGAAGGGGCGAGAGCGCATGTGAAGGGGCGAGAGCGCATGTGAAGGGGCGAGAGCGCATGTGAAGGGGCGAGAGCGCATGTGAAGGGGCGAGAGTGAGTGCAGAAGCGCCTTACCTTGGCGGGACCAGCAGCCCTCCGCTCCGCCTCCTCTGCTGCTTGCTGCTCCCTCGCCTTGCGCTCCGCCGCCTGCAGTGGGCGCAACCAGGGGTGCAAGGCGGTGCCATGAGATGCAGTGGGGTGAGACATGGCCGTGGAGGGCGAGAGAGAGACCAGCGGGTAGAAAAGGGGCAAGCTGGCGCGTTCGGGGAAGATGGACGCGAGGGGAGGCGCGAGGCCACGATGAGCGACAGAGAATGGAGGGGTGGAGAGGTGGAGGGGTGGAGAGGTGGAGGGGTGGAGAGGTGGAGGGGTGGAGAGGTGGAGGGGTGGAGAGGTGGAGAGGTGGAAGGCTCGATGCACTCACCTGGGCGATAGACTCTGCGAAGCTGACGTCAGCAGCGAGCCATTTCGCAAAGGCTTCGTTGATGTACGCGCGCTGGGCTTGCTGCGCGCTCAGAGACAGGGGGGGGGGGAGAGGGGCATAGTGCAAGGGGGGAAGAGGGGCACAGAGTGGGGAGAAGATGTTGTGAGGAGGGGAAGTCGGGAAATGCGGGATGAGCGAATTTGGGAGGTGCGCAGCACGCGAGCATAGCAGGGCGGGAGGCGGGAGGGGAAGGGGAGGGGGGAAGGGGAAGGGGGGAGGGGAGGGGGGGAGGGGAGCGCACCACCCAGTCGGAGTTGGAGTCGCCTGGCTGCCCCGTGCGCACGCGCTGGCGGTAGATGCTCTCCGCGATCTCTATCACTCGCGCCGTCGCCCCCGCCAACACCTTCTCCATCGCCTGCGCAGGCGAGGGACGCGGAACCGGGAGACAAGCACGCGAGGGACGCGGAACCGGGAGACAAGGACACGAGGGACGCGGAACCGGGAGACAAGCACACGGCAGGGAGAAAAAGGGATGGCATAGCGTCAACATCGTGCAGGTGGCAGGAAATAGAGCGTGTGCTCATCGTGATACCTACATACCCACACACCCTCCACCGGCCCTGCAAGGCATGCGAGCGCCAGCCTGCACACCCGTCACCTTTCCGCTGACTGCTAACCCACATGCCTCTCATGGGACCCCCGCATGCATCATTCCCCCTGTCCTCCCCCTCCCCCCTCTCCCCTTCCCCCCGCGCACCTCCGTGAGCACGCCCATGGGCGGGCTGATGCCGGCGCGCCTCTCCGCCACCAGCGCCGAGGCGGCGTCCGCGGGCATGGCGCGCACGAACATGAGATAACTGCGCGCGCACAGATACACACGAACATGAGGTACCTGCGCGCGCAGCACGCGCGATGCACACAGATAGTGGACGAGGGAGGGGGGTGCTCAAACAGTCGACCACTCATTCCCGTGCGTTGCTACACGGCTTGCACCCTTGCTGTTCTAGGCTACACGCTTGTACCCGCGTCACCGTTCCTTCTCTTTACCCGCGTCACCGTTCCTTCTCTTTACCCGCGTCACCGTTCCTTCTCTTTACCCGCGTCACCGTTCCTTCTCTTTACCCGCGTCACCGTTCCTTCTCTTTACCCGCGTCACCGTTCCTTCTCTTTACCCGCGTCACCGTTCCTTCTCTTTACCCGCGTCACCGTTCCTTCTCTTTACCCGCGTCACCGTTCCTTCTCTTTACCCGCGTCACCGTTCCTTCTCTTTACCCGCGTCACCGTTCCTTCTCTTTACCCGCGTCACCGTTCCTTCTCTTTACCCGCGTCACCGTTCCTTCTCTTTACCCGCGTCACCGTTCCTTCTCTTTACCCGCGTCACCGTTCCTTCTCTTTACCCGCGTCACCGTTCCTTCTCTTTACCCGCGTCACCGTTCCTTCTCTTTACCCGCGTCACCGTTCCTTCTCTTTACCCGCGTCACCGTTCCTTCTCTTTACCCGCGTCACCGTTCCTTCTCTTTACCCGCGTCACCGTTCCTTCTCTTTACCCGCGTCACCGTTCCTTCTCTTTACCCGCGTCACCGTTCCTTCTCTTTACCCGCGTCACCGTTCCTTCTCTTTACCCGCGTCACCGTTCCTTCTCTTTACCCGCGTCACCGTTCCTTCTCTTTACCCGCGTCACCGTTCCTTCTCTTTACCCGCGTCACCGTTCCTTCTCTTTACCCGCGTCACCGTTCCTTCTCTTTACCCGCGTCACCGTTCCTTCTCTTTACCCGCGTCACCGTTCCTTCTCTTTACCCGCGTCACCGTTCCTTCTCTTTACCCGCGTCACCGTTCCTTCTCTTTACCCGCGTCACCGTTCCTTCTCTTTACCCGCGTCACCGTTCCTTCTCTTTACCCGCGTCACCGTTCCTTCTCTTTACCCGCGTCACCGTTCCTTCTCTTTACCCGCGTCACCGTTCCTTCTCTTTACCCGCGTCACCGTTCCTTCTCTTTACCCGCGTCACCGTTCCTTCTCTTTACACGTCTACTTCCCTCAATCCAACGCGCCCCGGGCCTCGCGCGCCTCACCCGATGGCGATGAGCGGCGACTCACCCGATGGCGATGAGCGGCGAGATGCGGTCGCCCGCCGAGCACTGCAGCAGCACCGTGTGCCCCGCCGCCACCAGCGCCGCCACCACCCGCACCACCTGCGGCAGCATCAGCGCCTGCAGCCCATGGGGAGGGGGGTAGAGCAGAGTGGAGGGGAGAAGCGAGCGATGGAAAGAGCGTTGAGGTGGAGCGGAGCAAGCGGAGAGACGGAGGACAAGGAGGTCATGGTAGTCGAAGCACTTTCAGCGCCTCACCTGTTCCGTGGCGTCGTGCTCCTTCACGGGCACCCACACGGCCACCACGCCTTGCTCCTCCAGCCGTCGTCGCTCCTCGTCCCAGCTGCTGCCGCGCGCCTTCATTGCGCTCTCCTCCTGCACCACGCCGCCACCAACGGCACGCGCACACGCACGCCATGTCATGTCAGCACGCGTAGAAATGAAATGCCCACGAGATGTGATTTGAGCAGGCGTGAGACTGCACGGACGTTGGCATGAGCGACGGGGTTGAGTTGAGGAAAGCACGCCGCGGCGTGGGCGGGGCGGCGCGTACCTCAACGTTAACGACGGCCGTCATGCCGAACTGCGTCTGCAGTGTGCGCACATCCTCCGCGCCCGCCGTCGTGACGCTCCCGCCAATCGCCACCTGCTCCGTCACCACCGACCACAGCGGGTCCGCGCGCAGCACTGCGCGCACCACACACCACCATGGCGGATGGCACGAGGAAAGGGGGGGGGGGGAAGGCAAAGGGTAGAGGAGGTGGTAAGGGAGCGGGGATGACTAGTAATGGCGGGGCCAAGACATTCGCGCAGCACGAGAGCAGGAAGGAAGCAGAGGAGGAACGACGGTCCGGGTAGTGCAGCAATTCTGCCCCAAGGGACGACGGTCCGGGTAGTGCAGCAATTCTGCCCCAAGGGACGACGGTCCGGGTAGTGCAGCAATTCTGCCCCAAGGGACGACGGTCCGGGTAGTGCAGCAATTCTGCCCCAAGGGACGACGGTCCGGGTAGTGCAGCAATTCTGCCCCAAGGGACGACGGTCCGGGTAGTGCAATTCGGCCCGAAAGACAGTGCAGGCGCTCGATTGGAACCGTTCAATAGGAGCCGCTCAAATAGCCTATACTCATCCACGTACCCGAGCCGTTCAATTGGAGCCGCTCGCTCTGCGGAGTCTCCGCTTCGGCGCTCACACGAACAACCGCGGACTTGCGCCCCCTGTCCGCGCGGCCCCCGGGGCAAGGAAAGAGCGCGGATGATCTGAGCGCGCGCAGCTGGTGCGCTTGCGGGACTGCGGAATGCGAGAGTAGCGCGGTCGCTGAGAGGTGGTGCGCGACTTCGAGGCGGTGCGCGTGGCATGGCGCACATGGCTGCACGTCCGCGCGCAGCACGGTTTTGGAGCTTGCGCCGAGCGCGGAAAGCATGGTCGCGCTGGAAAGCTGCGAGCTGCGAGCTTATGTGCTGTGGCTCGACGAATTCACCCGAAGAACGGCAAGAATGCTATTTTTCTTCGGGGCTGCAGCGTGGCCGGAGGGCTGGACTGGAAGCAGCACACAAAACGGCGTTACGGTATAGACGACTAACCCTGCTGAAACGCACTTAGCATTTCCAAGAAAACTACGATTTTCGTGGTGGTGCAGGAGACGTCATCGACAGCTCGAATTGGTGGTGACGAGGAGGGATTGCAGCGAGTGAATGTGGCGTGCGGGATGGGGGTGCGTGGGTGGTGGCGACAATGGGTTTGGACGGATTTGAAGGAAAGGGGGGCCGAATGACGGTCACCAACGAATCGATTCGCGCCCTCGAAACTTCATTGGAACACCAGTCGCGGATACTGTATCGGACGGTCTCCCTCGCAACGACAGGCCGAACGGGCATATATTGACGTCAAAATCTTCCGCCACGCTGGCGGACTAGCTGTTCAATCCCCCAAAGAGGTGGGTTCAGGAACTTGCCACATATGCCGTCGATCTTTACAGCCCTCGCCCAATCGTGGGGCTCTCCAGCACAAGGGGAGTGCCATTGGTCCCCAGCGTCGAGCCGCTTCGCTTGGGCACAAACCCACAGCCAATGCTGTACGGTGTAGGCCGAAATCAAGGGTCAAGGATTAGAGATGGATTAGGTGGCTGACAGCCATCGTACACTGCTGCCGCCCCGCCCACCAATTGCTGCATCCGCGCCAAGGCTGCTCGCAACTCTCTACAGTCTTGTTCTACCTTTTTCAACTAAATGCGTGCTAATTGCCATTGCTTTATGTGGAACGTATAATTAGGATCGCCATCAGAACCCTGCATACCGACTCACGAACCAAGCATGCCCCATGCTTTATACAGTTGCTTCTACAGGCACTCCATTGCCACAGAGGCGAGTGTCGCTCTTAGGCGGGATACTAAGGTTGCACATCTCTAGACGACTTTCATTGTGGCGAAACCTGTGATGCTTTGGTCCTTTGGGGTTTCACATTTGTATCCCATTCTACTCATAGTTCACTCATTCTTGCCTAGAACTCTGACATGGTATCAGAGCAGTAGGTCCGTAGGACCGCTTCTCTTAGGGCCCACCCGTTACCGCGTTACCCCACAGCCTATCCTGCCTTATATTGCCCGACCGTGCCGCCCTTGCAGCTACGCGCGCCGCCTTTGCTGCATTGCGCGCCGCCCGCACTGACTTGCGCACGACCCCCCTGCAGCCTGCGCGCTGCTTCCTCTGCCCCTCGCAGCCCCTCAGGAGCCCCGCGCGCCGCCCGCACTGCCCCGCGCAGGCCCTCAGCAGCCCCGTGCGCCGCCCGCACTGCCCCGCGCACGACCCCGGCAGCCCGCGCGCTGCTTCCCCTGCCCCTCGCGGCCCCTTAGCAGCCCCGCGCGCCACCTGTCCTGCCCCTCGCACTACGCCAGCTGCCTGCACGCCGCCGTCGCCGCCCGCGCGCAGCCCCCGCACTGCCGTCTGCGCGCTACTCTTCCCCTGCCACTGCAGCGCTTAGCCGCCTCTTCCTACCCTACCTTTTCCCCAACCTGTCATCCTTTGCCACTGTAGACGACCTCCTCTCCCACCTCCGCGCTATGGACGCTCGTTACCGTGCTGCCCTCCCTGCCGAGTTTCTCCCCAAGAACGAGCCCCCACTCTACATCACTCTCCACTTTATAGTCACCCGCCTCCCTAACAATCTTAGTGCAGTCCGGGACACCCTTCTCGCTCTCCCCCCACAGACCTCACTATCGACCTGCTACAAAAGCACCTTCGTGCAGCTGAGGCTAAGTGCTAGTTGTGGCACCCCTCGCACGCCCTTCTTTGAGGGGTGCTCCACCCCCCCCCCCCCCCCTCGCCCCCTCTGTTGCCTCTGCCGCTGCTGTCGACTTCCTTGGTGCTGAGGAGGTCGGTGCTGCTTCTGCTCCTAGTGGGAAGCGCCGCAGCGGCAAGGGAAAGGGCGGCAAGGGTGGTGAGGGTGGCGGCGAGGGGGGTGGTGGTGGAGGTGGTTGGGGAGGCGGAGGTGGTGGAGGTGGCGGTGGGAGTGGTGGAGCGAGTGGGGGCGTCGGCGGCGGAGGTGGCGGCGGCGGCGGGGGTGGTGGTGGCAGTGGTCGTGGTGGCAGTGGGAGCAGTGGTGGCGGGAGTGGCAGCGGCGGGAGTGGTGGCAGCGGCGGCGGTGGTGATCGCTCTGGCGCAGTTCAGCGGCAGCAGCAACAGCGTCCTCATGAGGCCCTCTCGCCCCAGCAGCTTCGTGAGTGGCTTGCTCAGCGTACGACGTCTCGGGGTGGTGGTAGTGGTCGCTGCTCGTACGTTATTCGCCAACTTGTCAGGAGATGGGTGATGAGTGTGAGATGCCCCGCTGGGCAGAGCTGCTTAAGGCTGGTGTTGATATCTTTGCTCTAGACTATGATGCTATTATTTACTGCTGGCATGTATGCTCTGTCTACTAGTGTTGAGGGTGACTGTTACTTGTGTGTGCCGTATGACCCTAGTATAGAGGCTACTGCTCTAGGTGCTAGTGAGTCTGCTCTCTCTGGTACTACGCCTGCTGAGGCCTCGCACACCTTCACGCTTGACTCAGGTGCTTCTCGCTGCTTCTTTCGCGACAGTACCACAGTCACACCACTCACCAGGCCTGTTGCAGTTTCCCTGGCTGACCCCTCTGGGGGCCCGGTTCTTGCACGCGCCTCTACTGTGCTCCCGTGCCCGGCCGTTCCGTCCGGTTCCCTATCAGGTCTCGACCTCCCTTCGTTCTCGTCAAACCTGGTGAGCAACGCAGTCCTCCTTGATGTTGGGGTTGATACCTTTACACCTGGATGGCAGCGTGTGGCGATCTGTACGTTTTCTCGGACTGGCTGTCACCAGGCCACGTTCACTCGTCGACCGGGACCGAGTCTGTACACACTGACTACTGCGCCGCCTCAGGTCGCTGCGTCCGCTCAGGTGTCCCCGTCAGGTCCGGTAGCAGCCCCCTGTGAGTGTCGCCGCTTGTCGCACCAGACTCTCCTTTGGCACCACCGCCTTGGTCACCCCTCCCTGCCACGCCTTCGTGGCATGCACTCTCGCCTTCTGGTCTCTGGTCTTCCCAGGTCTCTGCCTTCCCTCCCACCCTCGCCTGCCCCGCCCTGCATTCCTTGCGTCGAGGGGCGGCATCCCACCGCTCCTCACTCCTCCTCGTTTCTGTCACATTTGCATGAATGTGAAGGGTAAGGCGGTAGAGTGAAAAGGCTGTATATACTGTAAATACTGTATATAGCAGAACAGAGTCAAACGAGGATGGAAGCCGAGGAGTCAGGCGACATCTCACGAGCGGAAAGAGGAGTTGGGGAGCTGTCGTTTTCCGAGCCAGAGGGTCGGAGGGTTGCATGGGTGAGAAGGGAGTCGGAGCTTACGTAACCAGGGAGGGCGGGCTGTAGAAACAGAGGCAGATAAGGCGGCGGCAGTGGGAAGCAGCAACGCGGGAAGGGAAGGATGGGTGTAAGTGTGCATGCTTGTTTGCTTTCTATATGTGTGCAGGATTGGTTCGGGAAGCCAGCTGGATCTCGAAGCAAACAGCTGGAGGTCAAGCAGACAGGGCAAGGAAGGATGGCAAGAGGCATCACGGCTGCCAACCTGTGTGAAGCAGTTCATAGCTGATAGCGTAGGCAGGGATGATGGGACCGTAGCACGGTGGTGGCTTTGCTGGTAGAATAGGTGGATTTCTGAATCAAATTCCTTATTACTTGTATGTTTCCCTTGTACACGAAAGTTTTGCTGCAGATCGAGCAAACGGTGAATAGAGGGAGATATGACGAGCTAAGAACAGTAGTATGTGGAGAATAGAGTGAGGTGTGTGACGGAGCAGAGAGCTCATCACATACAAGCAATCAGAGCACACGAGGACGGCAGCAGCAGGTCATGGGAGGGGGCAGGAGAATAGCCATCAGAGCACACGAGGAGAACCAGAGGCAGGGGTGGCAATGAGTGGATACAGAGACCAGTGAGGTACACATGGTCAAAGGAGGAGGAGAGGAGTCGTGAATGGGAGCTGGGGGAGTGGGGAGAGCACTCTAAAGTGGTGAGAAGTGAAGAGAGAGAGTGATCAAGGGAGAGGGAGGGAAGATATCCGACATTTCCCCCGACGACAGCTCCTCCGCAAACCCTCCACATGGAAGTGGGGGGCCCAGCCCGCGTCCAGGAACAGGGCCGCGAGCGCTACTTTTTGCTGGTTGTCAACGACTACTCGCGTTACACCACGGTCTTCCCCTTGCGCAGCAAGGGTGAGGTCCCTGCTGTTTTGATCCCTTGGATCCGAGCTGTCCGTCTCCAGCTGCGCGAGCGGTTCCTCACGGACCTTCCTGTCCTGCGCCTGCACTCTGACAGAGGTGGTGAGTTTTCCTCTGACCTCTTGAGGTCCTTTTGTGAAGATGAGGGCATTCAGCAGTCGTTCACGCTTCCGGCCTCCCCGCAGCAGAATGGGATTGCTGAGCGCCGCATTGGCTTAGTCATGGAGGTCGCTCGTACCTCCATGATCCATGCGGCTGCTCCCCATTTTTCTGTGGCCGTTTGCGGTCCCTTACGCGGCGCATCAGCTCAACCTCTGGCCCAGTGTCTCCTTGCCGGAGACCTTGCCTACACTTCGTTGGACGGGGAAGGTTGGCGATGCGTCCGCGTTCCGGGTCTGGGGTTCCTGTGCCTTTGTCCGCGATTCCACTGCGGGCAAGCTCTCCTCGCGCGCCATTCCCTGCGTCTTCCTCGGCTTTCCCCCTGATGCGCCTGGCTGGCAGTTTTACCACCCCACCTGGCGCCGAGTCTTCCCCTCTCAACACGTCACGTTTGACGAGTCGGTTCCCTTTAAGCGGCTCTTCCCCTACCGCACTGCCCCTCTCCCCCCCCCCCCGCCGCTCTTCCTCGCTCCAGGTCCCCCTCCGGTAGACCCCCTCCCCCCTCAGGGTCCTGCTCCTTCAGGTGTCTCTCAGGT